CCAGCACCCTGTCACACTGCTGCCAATTAATTTCATTTGGTGATGCCTATTTTGTGTGTTATGTGCAGGGGTAAACAACACTTATTCATTTTCTCCACACTAGTCATGATTTTATAGACCTCTATCATATCTCCCCTCAGCCATCTCCTTTCCAAACTTTTTAATCTCTCCTTATATAGAAACTGTTGCATATCCCTAATCATTTTTGTTGCCATTCTCTACTTTTTCAATTCTAATATATTTTCTTTAGATGGGACAACCAGAACTGCACACAGTATTCAAGGTGTGGGCGTACCAGATTTATTTAGTGGCATTATGATATTTACTGTCATTTTCTATCCCTTTCCTAATGCTTTCTAACATTGTTAGCTTTTTTGACTGCTGCTGCACATTGAGCAGATGTTTTCAGAGAACTATCCACAATGACTCCAAGATCACTTTGAGTGTTAACAGCTAACTAAGACCAAATCATCGTGATATGTAATTGGCATTATGTTTTCCAATGTGCATTACTTTGCACTTATCAACATTGAAATTAATCTGCCATTTTCTTGCCCACTCATCCTGTTTTGTGAGATTCCTTTGTCACTCTTCATAGTCAGCTTTGGGTTTAACTATATTGAGTAATTTTGTATCATCTGCCAATTTAGCCACCTCACTGCTTATCCCCTTTTCCAGATCATTTACGCATATGTTCAACAGCACAGATCCCCATATAGATTCTTGGGGGACCTTGCTATTTACCTCTCTCCACTATGAAAACTGACCACTATTTCTACCCTTTGTTTCCTATCTTTTAATCGGTGAGAGGACCTTCCCTCATCCCATGACTGCTTACTTTGCTTAAGAGCCTTTGGTGAGGGACCTCGTCAAAGGCTTTCTGAAAATCAAAGTGCACTATATCCACTAGATCACCCTAGTCCACATGCTTGTTGACCCCCTCAAAGGATTCTAATAGCTAGGTGAAGCACAATTTCCCTTTAAAAAAAAGCCATGTGGTCTCTTCTCCAACAAATCGTGTTCATCTAGGTGTCTGATAATTCTATTCTTGACAATAGTTTCAATCCATTTGCCTGGTACTAAAATTAGGTTTACCGGCCTGTAATTTCCAAGATCGCCTCTGGAGCCTTTTAAAAAAAAAATTGGCTTCACATTAGTTATCCACCAGTCATCTGGTACAGAGGCTGATTTAAATGATAGGTTACATTCCACAGACAGAAGTTCTGCAAATTTCATATTTGAGTTCTTTTAGAATTCTTGGATGTATACTATCTGGTCCTGGTGATTTATGACTGTTAAATTTATCAGTTTGTTCCAAAACCTTCTGTATTGAGACCTCAGTGTGGGACAGTGCCTCATATTTGTTACTAAAAAAGAATGGCTTGGGTGTGGAAATCTCCCTCACATCCTCTGCAGCAAAGACCAATGCAAAGAATTCATTTTGCTTCTCTGCAATGGCTTGGCCTTCTTTAAGTGCTCCTTCAGCACCTGAATCATCCAGTGGCCCCACTGGTTTTTTGGTAGGATTCCTGCTTTTGATGTACTACAGAAATTATTGCTGTTCATTTCTGTCTTTTGCTAGTTGCTCTTCAAATTCTTTTTTGGGCCTGCTTAATTATACTTTTACACTTGGCTTGGCAGAGTGAATGCTCCTTTCTATTTTCCTTAGTAGGATTTGGCTTCCAATTTTTAAAGGATTTATTTTTTGTCTCTAACCATCTCTTTTACTGTATTGTTTAGCCAGGGCAGCATTTTTTGGTCTTTTTTATTATTATTATTTGGGATATGCATATACTTTTTTGCTCTAGCGTGGTGTTTTTAAAAATTTCCATGCAGCTTGCAGGCATATCACTTTTGTGACTGTTCCTTTTTTGTTTAATTAGCTTCCTCATATTTGGATCGTTTCCCTTTTTGACGTTCAATGCTACTGTGGTGGATTTCTTTGGTATATTCCCCTAGCCCCCCAAGGTTGTTAACTTTAATTACATTATGGTAGCTATTATTAAGAGGTTCAGCTAGATTCACCTCTTGAACCAGATCCTGTGCACCACTTAGGACTAAATTAAGAATTGTCTCTCTTCTTGTAGGTTCTAGGACTAGCTATTCCAAGAAGCAGTCATTAATAGTGTCTAGAAATTTTATCTCTGCATTCCATTATGAAGTGACATGTTCCTATTTGATATGGGGATAGCTGAAATCCCCTATTGTCATAGCTTTTTCTGCCTTTGTTGCTTATCTAATCTCCCTAAGCATTTAACAGTCACTTCCCTGGTCAGGTGGTCAATAATATATTCCTACTGCTATACTATTATTATTATTCAAGCATGAAATTTCTATCCATAGAGATTCAATGGTACTGTTTGTTTGTTTTTACAATATATGACTATGCCTTCTTTCACAGTGTCACTCCCCCATGATTGTGACCTATTCAGTGTCCGACTGATTATCATTGTTCCTCCAAGTTTCTGTTATGCTTTTTATATCTATATGCTCATTAAATACCAGCCACTCAAGTTTACCCATCTTAGTTTCTAGACTTCTAGCATTTGTATACAAACACTTATAGAATTTGTCAATATTTAGTTGTCTGCCTTCATGTGATGTAATTGAATGGGATGCTTTTTTGACTGTTTCTTCAGTTCCTACCCGTACTTTATCAACTTCTAGCCTCTCCTTTTTACTAGGATATAGAGTATCCCCTTAAAAAAAATCCTCCCCTAAAGGATGTGTCTGTCCAAACCGTGTGCTCCTCTGCATATGTCAGCTTTCCCCCAGCCCTTAGTTTAAAAAGTCCTCTATGATATTTTTAATGTTCCCTATCAGCAATCCGGTTCCGTTTTGTTTTGGTGGAGCCAGGGCCAGTGCAA